ACTGTCACTAGAGATCTTTTAGGTAGTCGTGTTTTTGTCTTCACACCAAGGGGAGAGGTAAAATATATCAAAATAATCTTCTTCTAAAAGTTATATGAAATTTCACAAGTAATTGTTGTTTACGAGGTTCTTGTTACATGGCTCCATCTGAATCCAGATAAAAAATCTACCCAAAGGGGCAACTGTTGTTGATTATGCTTATATGATACACACTGAAGTTGGGAACAAAATGGTGGCTGCCAAGGTTATCATTTTTATTCCCACTTAGTTTCATGCTTTGTTTCTTTAAGATCCTTTCTAATGTAGTTCCTTTAGAAAGGGAAAAGGGAACATAATAACCCAAAACTAATACTTTATTTTTGTGAGCTGCAGGTCAATGGTAATCTGGTTTCCCCCGCACATGTTCTTGCCAATGCAGAAGTCGTGGAAATAATCACTTACAGTGTTAGTATCTATTCCTTTATACCTTCATTGTAGTGATGAAGCTATAATATGAAGGATGCAAATCCTGTCTCAGATTTAATTTTCCTTTGCATGAGAGTGAATATAGAAATTCCTGTTGTGTGGCCTAACTGAATTTGGAGACTAATTTCTATTCGCCAGCAGGCTCCCCTTTCTCTTTAGGTTTTTTCAGTTACAGGTATCAGCACATTAGATCTATATCCTGCAAAATGAAAATAGTGAATCATGGTCAGGATTGAGCACACATCAAGTTTCTATTCTGCTGTGAACTTGAGCGCTTTTAGTAGTTTTGTTGAGAATAAAACTACTAGACTCTTGAGTTTTCCAGTGTTCATAAACTCTTCTTTTGCGTGTTTATGTTCGTCTACCTCTTCCTCTTTTGAACTTTTAAAAGTTAAATTACTTTCTCATATGACTTCATATGCCCCGAAAAAACTCTCTCATTATGGCTTTATAACTGAGGAATTTGTTTCTTATAATATCAGGCACTTTCAAGCAAATCAGCTTTTCAAAGGCACAAGCAATGGTTGCAACATGCAAAAACACGCAGCGCAAGACATAAAATTATGAAAGTAGGTATAATTTGGGAGTGAAGATAGATTTAATTTATTAGCTGTTTGAAAGGTCTCCAGTTTCTCATTGAAGCTTTATTTTGTTCAAGTTCTTAAGGGAGCAAGCTGCACTATCTGCTGCTGAAATAACGATGGATCAAGTAAATAACTTTGTTGCTGATTCTGAGGACAGCGAAGTGGAAGAGGTCCCAGATAATTCCAAAAAAACCAAACCTTTGTGGGAGAAAATTCTAATGAACGTCTTAGAGTTTTCATCACCTGGAAGAAGTTGTGAAGATGCATTTCCCACTAAAACTGGTGGCATTTGGGTCCCTAAGGTGAATGGCAAACACAACAAGCATGTGCAGCATTCAAGCATGAAGGACAAGGAGTTGTTGTCAGAAGGAAATGGTGTTGCAAAAGTATTACCTGCCAGCTTTCCAGTGTACACAGAAGTCTTGCCTGGTTTAGAAAGTTGGCAAACTAGTAAAATTACTGCTTGGCACAATCTCGAAGGGCATTCCATTCTTTGGTTCTGTGTGGTCTGCATAGATCGAAAAGGTAATATTTATTGGACATAATCATGGTTGAGAGAGAAAGAACTCATAATCCTTGGGACTAGCAATTAGCTTATAATGTTCTGAAAAATTTTGATTATCCTGTTCATCTTAAAAATATGTTCTTTTGGAGAGTTCATCCACTTGCATCTGAATCTGAATATGTTCTTGCAATGTGGGGTTTTTCAGTCAATCTATTATGAGCCATTCTTTCATTTAAAAAATTAATAATTTGTAAAATTAATTTCAGGAATTATGGGTGAAGTTACCACAGCGTTGGCAGATGTTGATATCACCATATGTTCTTGTTTGGTGAGATTGGTTGATTTATCTAATATACTGTCTGTCCTGGCGGTTAATGATATTTACAAATATGCTTGATTTTCTGTTTGTAGGCTGAGATTGACAGAGGAAGGGGAATGGCTGTTATGCTATTTCACGTGGAAGGGAATATTGAAAGCTTGGTAGTGTGCTAGTTAATGCACTCTTAGTATATTTTCTTTTGACAGTGCTCTCCTGACCTTTCTTTTTTCTAGGACCTATTTATAGTGGTGAGAGTTGAGAGCGTCTGATGCTAATTGCGTAATTCTCTCCTTCCCAGGTTAATGCTTGCTCGAATGTGGATCTAATACTTGGTGTTTTGGGATGGTCTACTGGTTGTAGCTGGCCAAGCTCACTGGAGGGATCTCGATTTCTTGAGTGCTAGCTGATCAATTAAAGCCAATTAGTCCAATTAGGTCATTCAGGAGTCTAAAAGTTGGGTCTGAAAATTTTGTCCCAAAAGAAATAGAGATTGTGGTGTTTCGTTACAGATTTTGGGTAGTTAGCTCCATAGTTCTACCTATTTGTTTTAACTCGACAAAAATAAACTAGCAAAGAGCCAATTGAGCTCTTTCTGGATTCAGGGCATTGTATATAGAGAAAAGAGTGATAGAATCAAAGAAACATATATACTTGTAGAGATACTTGCAGTGAGAGGATGGCAAAATAGTCATACAAAGGTTGATTGTACAATGAGTTTTCTTTCCATTTTGCTACCGTTATCTTCTTCTATTCCTTATTTAGTATACTCTTCACCAATCTCTTGTTTCTATGCTGCATTTAGTTTTTATCATTCATTTTCTTCAAATTTCATGGCATATTGGCATTGCTCATCTGTCCGTTTGGGGGTGTGGTACTAAAAACAGAGCCAATTGACCTAAATGATGAGTTGCAGCTATTTAGATATGGACCCTTATCATCAAATTCATATCTTGTATGTAGATGTTGAAGCCATTTTTCCCCAAATAATAAAATAAAGAATAAGGGGAGCTAGGTGAACTTGGCATACGACCTAACTTATTTCCCCACTTTGTTGTCTCGCCATTTCCATGTCTGGAAATGACTGACTAATCGTAACCAAAAGTTTTGATTGTCATGATATATAGTTCCATTTTTGAAGTTATTACAATTTGAACTACTTTTAGCTTTTTGTTTGTTGTATAAAACTATCAGCTTTTTAGATTATTACCTTATAATTCAATTTGTTTGAGTGTTGGACTTTAGAAATTTAGATATGAATAAAAATACCTGAGTTTTGAACAGCAAACTGTCAAGAGCTGCTGATGAGTCTTCAGAATAATATCATTTGTATTACAATGGATTCTTGTTGATTACTATCACCAAGTGAAAGAAGAAATTTCTTCAAAGAGTTTCTGGTTAAATTATTATTATTATTATTTTTTTAAAAAAAAGAAGTGTAGTGGAAAAAAGGAAAATAGTTGTCGTTTCTTTGTTGAATAGAGTTAAAGAGTGCTGGGGTGGTTTACTTTTGTTTTATGGTTCCGTTTGGTCTTTAATCTTCCATCATGTGGATGTTTCCTTTTTCCCCTTTTGTTAATGGATTCTGGATTCTGCTCCTCCCTCAAGATTGCACGCATCTTCCCTAATCTACTCTCCTCTTAGTAGTTATCCACGGTATTAGTAAACTTGCCAAGGCATATATGTCAGTCACCAGCAGCTACTTTTAACCACAAAAATAAACTTCTCAACGTGTTGTGAGAAAATTTTAGTTGATAAATGATGTAATAAAAAATATTATGTTATACCAAAAAATCCGAGAAAATTCTTGAATCCATTGTGACATAGCAAACTGTGATTCATAATCTTACACATTTAAACTCTTCTTTCAAAATAAAAACTAAAGTATACCAAATTTCTATTTAAACATCATACTGCAGTTTATTTTTATATATATATATACTCAAAAATATTTTATTTTATTTTGATCCATCAAAAAATAAAATAAAATAAAAAATAAGTTACAAATCTCAATAATTTTAATTATTTAATTGATTATTTTATCGGAACGAAAAATTAAATAACAAACGCAATGCAATGCGTAATTGAAATACAGACCATAAATTTTCAAACATGTATTAATCAGATTTGAGGAATGAAAATATGTTTCTAAATTGTTGGGGAAAAATTTAGAATTTGTATATGTTCCTAAACATATTATATTCTTTCCCATTTCTTACATGAAAAGTAAGAATTATTCATAATTACTATATTCGGTGTACAAATAAATCATCTTCATCTGTATACCCAATTTACATGTTCAGAGCAGAGCATAAGATCGTGTCCGTTGACTTTCATTTGAACCCACTAAGAGTCTCAACATTAAAGAGGTAACCAAGCAAATAAAGGAATACTAACAGTAGCAGCAGAAACGCCATGACTGATTGAACCCGAGCTCGCCCCTTCCTCCACCATTCATCTTCATCCTTCATCACGTTCACAACTTCCCCATGTGTTTCTCCCTCATTCAAAATGACCATTGAATTTTCCACCCTTGTTGCTCTGTTTTCATTTATTCTCGTTTCTTCATCGGTCTCTTCCACTAGATGGTCTGCAATGGTCGATTCAGATTTGGATTCAGGGGATGAGATTTCGGTGGTCTCTTCTGCCCAAACTGCTTCGTCGTTACATTCCATGGAAGAACTCCCACTCACTTCACAACTCTCCTGCTCTTTCTCCTTTATATTTTCTTCATTATCAACATCATCTTCTTCTTCTTCATCGTTCTTTACTCCATTGGTTTTCAGCAACTGTAAAACCTCTCCAGAGTCATTCATAATCAATTTCAGTTCTTCAAGGTTGCTGCAATCGTCGGAAGACGTGACGCTTTGTTCTGCCGAATCATCGGAAAGAAGAATTTCTTGATGACAGGCCTCCGTGATTTCTTCGGAATCTTCATTCCGATTGTTATAGAGCGTGATCTTCGGATTATTCTCGTCTTCGCCATTGCTGATACACAGCTCTGCTTTCTCTTCCTGAACCAATTAATTCCTCAATGGTGCTATCAGTAATCAACAAGTAGAATGCAACACAATAACAGGGATGAAATTTACCGAGTTCAAACTCCGGATAGAGACAGATTCACAGGATTTGGTCTGTATTACTTCCGTCTTTGCTATTTGATGGAAGGTGAAACTAAAATCCATCACCACAGACAGGTAAAATCCAGATTTAACTCCAGAATCAAATACAAGAAATCAATTTCTCTCCGAAAATCTCATGTTACCTGTGATTCTCGGTTGGATTACTCTGAAGAATTAAAGGCAGCCCTTGAACTTGGCTGCCAGTTCCGCTTCCTTTATCCCGATCTCTTCTTGGTCTTCTTTTTTTCAACGCGAAAGCAGTTATCAAACCGGCGATAGCCAAAGCTCCGCCCCAGACGACCGCAGCCTCCACACCGACTCGGGGTTGTCGTGCTTGGTTGTTGCGTTTGTTGTGTGAGGTCCTGCGCTTCTCCATGTTGAAATACTCTGATTTGTAATGGTAGGTTCGAATGTAATAAAATGTGAAAAGGAAGATGATTAAAGCATGTGATTTACCGACTCTTGTAGGGGTTGAGTTTTTTGGAGGAGAGGATTGAAGTATCAAAAAAAAAAAAAAAAAAACTGGAGCTTGATGACACCGGACTAACCTGAACCTGTTCAAGCAATCCGTAAGACTGTTTGTATTTCATTTGAAATTTACCAAGTTTAAATCTTAGAACTTGAAATGTTATAATTAATAGAATCATAAAAGTTGGAACTTTAAATATACTTTTTTATTAATTTATTGATGAGAACTGTACTAATTGAATTTAACTTCATCAAAATAAATTATTATGTTTATATTTCTGTAAGTTCCCTTCATTTATTTTTTTAATTTCAATTTCATTCCATTCAAACCGGTAACACGTGTTCTACTCTTATTCGTTTATTTTAATTAATGAATATTTATTAGTAACAAATTAATAAATTTTTTTCTCTTTTTATTTTTATTATTATTATTATATCTTAAAGTTGGGTTATTCTTTTTTTTTTTTCTTCAAAAAACTGAAGACAATAATATTGTGTTCTACAATTACTATGTTATTCAAAATATGAGACTGGCTAAAAGACCAATGAAAAATATAACTATAAAATAATTTTAAAAAAATTATACATAAAATATTAAAATTTGAATTTATACAAAATTTTATATGAGAAATGCTTCATTATTCTATTTCAATTATTTATAAAAATATGGTACTCAATACTTCTTATAATAAATATTTTATTTATTTCGGACCATTAAAAAATAAAACAAAATGAAATGAAAAATAAGTTACCAAGTCTCAGTAATTTTAATTATTTTATTGATTACCGTTGACTTTCATTTGAACCCACTAAGAGAATCACCATTAAAGAGTTAACCAAGCAAATATAGCAATGCTAAATACTAACAGTAGCAGCAGAAATGGCATGATTGACTGAAACCATTCATCTCATCATTCATCATCACCTTCACAATCTTCCCATTTATTTCTATCTCATTCAAAATCACCACTGAATTTTCTACTCTGGTTTCATTTACTCTTGTTTCTTCATCAGTCTCTTCCACCACATGGTCTCTAATGGTCGATTCATATTTGGATCCAGGGGATGAGATTTCAGTTGTCTCTTCTGCCCAAACCGCTTCGTCGTTACATTCCATGGAAGAACTCGAACTCCCACTCCCACTCCCACTCACTTCACACCTCTCCTGCTCTCTCTCTTTTATATTTTCGTCATTATCAATATCATCATCATCTTCTTCTTCATCGTTCTTCGCTCCATTGGTTTTCAGTAACTGTAAAACCTCTCCAGAGTCATTCATAATCAATTTCAGTTCTTCAAGGTTGCTGCAATCGTCGGGAGATGTGACGCTTTGTTCTGCCGAATCATCGGAAAGAAGGATTTGTTGATGACAGGACTCCGCGAATTCTTCATTCCGATCGTTATAGAGCATGACCTCTGGATTATTCTCGTCTTCGCCGTTAACGATCCACAGCTCTGCTTTCTCTTCCTGAACCAATTTATTACTCAACTATCAGTAATCAGCGAGTAGAATGCAACACAATAACAGACGTGAAATTTACCAAGATCAAACTCTGAGTAGAGACAGATTCACAGGATTCGGTCTGGATTATTTCCGTCTTTGCTATTCGATGGCCTGCGAAACTAAAGTCCATCACCACAGACAGGTGAACTCCAGATTAGTTCCAGAATCAAGTACAAGAAATCAATTTCTCCAAACGAATCTCATGTTACCTGTGATTCTCAGTTGGATTACTCTGGAGAATTAATGGCAGCCCTTGAACTTGGCTGTTACTTTCGCTTCCTTTATTCCGATCTCTTCTTCGTCTTCTTTTGTTCAAGGAAAAAGCAGTCATCAAACCGGCGACGGCCAGAGCTCCGGCCCAGACGACTGCAGCTTCTACACCGACCAACGATTGTCGTGCTTCATTGTTGTGTTTTTTGTGTGAGGTCCTGCGCTTCGCCATGTTAAAATATTGTATGGGCTCTGGGTTTTGTAATGGTAGGTTTGAATTTAATAATATGCGAAGAGGAAGAAGAAGATCAAAGCTTGTGATTTTGATGATTCTTATTTACCAAACACATTTAACTCGTTAGTGTATTAGGAGGTTGCACGAGTTAAGTTCCATTATATAATGATTAATTAAATAAATTTAAATTTTATGTTAATGAGAATCTACTAATTATCTAATTTATTTTTGTAAGTTTCCTTCCTTGATATAAATGATTTTTTCAGTTAATTCATGTGAGTAAATTGTAAAATATGTGTGCCTGCCTCAATGACGTCATTCAATTCAACCCAGTAAAACGTGTTCTAGTTCTAAAACAGTAATTAGCACACGTGTTTTAATTAATTAATATTTGAGTAAAAATCTCTTATTGAAACATATGAGAATCAAGTGGTTAAAGACCCATAAAAAAAGAAGGTAATTATAAAATACTTTTTAAGTAAATTGGAAAGAAAAAAAAAATTCAGAAATTGTCAATAAAAGTTTATTTAATTTAATAATTGAAGTAAAGAGGTTTCTATATAATTTAATAAATTTCTGAAATAAAAAATATTATTTTTCTATTTTTTGTTACAATTATATTTTTAAATAAGTGAGATCCGAGGAAGATCTATTAATTAATCTGGAAGAAAATCTTATTAATCTTGACTTAATTTCCACGTCGGAAATAACATGCCACGTAAGACATACACGTGGTAGAAACCTCTTTTTTTAATAAAAATAAGACAAAAATGGAAATTTTGCTGAAAGTTCCAAGTCAACTTGCCCGACATGAATTACCGTTTTAACCCTTCTCATTTTCCTCCCCCCGCCACAACAAAACCCCGCGCCACCTGCTCTCCCCTCTTCATTACTTCACTTCTTCTTCATAGATCCTTTACAGTCTTCTTCATTAATATTATTATTTGTTTCGATTCAAGTTCCATCCGAACATGTGTGGCGGTGCTATTGTCGCCGATTTTATTCGTCGTATTCGTAGCCGGAGAAGCACCGCCGTTGAGCACTGGCCCGATTCCACTTCTGCCAATTCCGACTGTAATGACTCGGATAAGAAACTGAATCGACCGGAACCAACTCGCCACGAACCCGTCTCCCTCAAGAGGACTCTGCCGACATCAGGTGCCCGTATTTCTTCCTGCTTTTTTTTTTTTGGTTATGGGTCCTGACTCTGGAATTTTTTCAAACAGATGATGAGAAGCAGATGGAGAGGACGGCGAAGAGGCAGAAGAAGAATCTTTACAGAGGGATCAGGCAACGACCGTGGGGAAAATGGGCTGCGGAAATTCGTGACCCGACGAAAGGAGTCCGTGGTAGGTTGGGTCCCTTCAACACAGCCGAGGAAGCAGCCCGAGCCTACGACAGAGAGGCCCGCAAGAGCCGCGGCAAGAAGTCGAAAGTCAATTTCCCCAGTGAAGACGATGAGTTCATCGTACCAACCCAAACAAAACACTACAACCACAACCCACTCGCTATCTCGACTCCTGCTCCTCCTCTGTATCAGACTCAAAACCGAAGAGCTAATTTTAACAGCGTTGGTTTCGGGTTCGGGTACGACCGGAACCAGGTCGCTTGTAATTCAACCGGATTCAGTGAGAATCACGCAGCTAATGCGACGACCCATGAAGCGGTCATTTCTTGTTGCGAGCAAAACTCGGGTATTGGGTCCGGTTCCGGGTCCAGATCGGATTGTGGTTACTCTTCTTCACCGGAATTCACCGGCCGCAACCAGAACTGCAACAACAATTGCGGAGTGAGGGTGAAGGAAGAAGAGCAGAAGGCGGAAGCAGAGGAGGAAGAAAACGAGGTGCAGAAATTGTCAGAGGAGCTAATGGCTACGAGAACTAGATGAAATTCCGTATCCTTCGACGACGCCCCTGCAGCTTCAAGTGCCGTGCAAGGGCGTCGTTTTCCGTCTGCTTTCAGTTCTTCCTTTCCGTTTCTTCAATTCTGAAATTGTGGACTGTGTTGTCGGATGTTGTGACTGTAAATTTAATGCGTAGTGTATGTGTATACATACATTTGTACTTTAGATTTTTTTGAAAAGAAAAATGAATTTTGTGTTATGTGTTTATAGGAAAAAGCAATTAGATAAAAAAAAAGTAAATGAATCTCTGAAAGAAAGTCATTTGGATGTTGGAGGGATTTAGGTTGACGCGAAAAGAAGGAGACGAAATACCAACTGCGGTGCTGACGGCTTGACTTTCTGGTATACTTTGTCTCTCTCGGCAGCGTGATGCCAGCATGTTGTAATAGTATGTGTTTTAAATTCCAATAAAATTAACAAAATATTCATTATTTTATATAATTAAGATTTAGTCAAATGTCAAACTCTTATTCACTTATATAATCTGCCACAT